ACAGGGACTTTATCACTGAGATTGTTTTTTTCAAAGGCTCAACTGGTCATTGTTTGCACTGAGGTCACTGTTACCACGCAGGGCACGGCACAACCAAAGCAGGAAATTCTCCTTCTCACGTTTTGCTGCTCCCAGCACCGTGGATCTGGGGAGGTGTGCCTGGAGCCAGGACAGGGGTGAGAAGACACCTCCTCTCACTCACTTGCTTAACTGCCTCTAGACACTAAGTCAGACCACAGGAGGAGGAGATGAGAAAACTACACATTTTCAAAAGCTCAACAGTTTCACCGAAAAAAACCATCCTCAGAATCCAGTTTTTATTGTTCCACTGCTCTGTTCTGCATCTCACAGGAAATAACGAGTGACTGTACAAAATGTTTCAGATCCAGAGAGGTAATTCAGAAATCCTGTCTTGTCTCAAAATTTCCAAATCTTAAAAGCCATTCTTGAGGAAACAACGTATTCCAAGCGGAGCTGGAACATGCCTACGATCGGTCTGAGGGACCTCGTGGCAAGCCAGGACAGAAAACAAAATTAATGCATATTGTGCTGGTTCAATTTCATCTGGAAATTCAAAATAAAAAACAAGTGCCACAGCCCCCCTCCCCAAAAGTCACTTTAGGATTCCTGTGAAAGGAAAAATGAAGAGCCTAACGATCCCAAGTTGAGAGTTTTAGAAGCAGTAAAACATCTGGGGCCACCAACTGCTCTTCCAGCAGTCTGAAATAACAATTTGTAAAAGCATTGTTTGTCTACAAAACTATTTCACACATCTCCTTCAAAAAATCACCATTCTGGTTCAAAAAAGGATAAGTTTGAATGTGTTCTCTCCCACACAAGAACAATCGTACATGGGCTGATCCAAGAGCTCGGGACAACCGAAACGTACCTTTACCATAACTGTTCTCACCATGCTGCAAGGACACAGTGGCCTTTTCATTCCAAGGACTGTTCCCACCGTGACTCATTACAGTCAGAAGATTTTAATCAGAATTCTGTTTCAATAATTGGGCCCAAAAGCGCTACCTGGAGCCCGACCACATTAACGTGTCAATTAACGGCCTCACGCAATCATCGGGATCCGTGAGCTCATCAGGGGGCCCTGCCAGCCCCATCTCCAGCCTGGCTCAGCCACACCAAGGGGGGACCAGCAGCCAGGGCAGCCAAAGGGTTAAAATCCCATGTCAAACAGCAAGTCCTGGCTCTGGACCAGGAGGGACATGGGAACCAGGGCAGTTGAGTTATAAAGGCCTCATTGTAGCAGCCCACTGGATTGGAAATGACTTGTAGGCCTAATGAAACAAAACTTTGGCAGTAAAACAGAATGAAAGGAATGAGACAATAAAAGAGAGGAACAAAGGGAGCAGAGTTGTTTCAGCTTAGGAAAATAAGCTCACTTTGTTGTTGGGAAAAGCCAAAGCCGATTAGGATAAACCAATGACTAGGCATAAGTCTTCCAAACTAATTACACAGTTCGCCATGTGAAGTATAATTGCAAGCAGCAAACGAAGGACTGTGCTGCTTTCACAGGAGCTCTGGGAAGGGAGCAGCACCTGGGAAAATGAACCCTCCAAATCCTCCCCACCAGTGCCTGCAGCTTGCAAGGCACGGAACGTGCAGGTCCTGAGAAGGGCAGCTCGTTAGGGCTCAGGGCTTTCTCCTGCTGCTCACAGTGCCCCACGTGAGGCTGGAGGAGGCTGTTGAGTTTTCTTTCTTTAAATGACACCTGAAGCCTTAAATGCTCCAACATGTCCCAAACTCAGAGCTCCACACTGCTTCCACTTCCAGAAAGCCACAAACCAGACAGCCCCAGCCCTGCTGATGGCTCAGGGCAGCACTGTGGCCTCTCAGGGCAGGAATGTGAGCCCTGCCTGAGTTTCCCCTCGGATTTCCTCACCTCCAGCACTTCTCATTTAGGTTCTTTTAAAGTTTGGTCTCAGCAGTTTTTCCCACCCAGCACAAGGGTGATGCTACAGAGTCTAGACAGGTCAACATGGCCAGTGAATTTATTTTGCTTGTAAGAAGGATCCCACAAACAACTGCATTAGACTGTCAGGACCAGGGATTAACACAATAGCTTTTTTTTTCTTCTGTTTGTAAACATAATGGCTTAGCCTCCTTGTGTGCTCTGTGGATCCTGCTCCCTGAAACCACTGGAAGGACAAGTCTTCCCTTCTGCAGCACCCTGACCCCCCTCGTGGCACACAGACCCCACCAAGCCTGTCTGGGGAGCCCCCCAACAACTGCAGGTGCCCAGGTTCAGCCTCAGCAGCTCTAAGCAATCCCAAAGCTGTTCATACACTGCTCTGTGCTCACTCTCAGGAGCCTTTTGGCTTCACTCAGGTCATTTTTCCCTGTTTTCCTCCACAGATTACAGATTCCCAAAAGGAATGCTGGGATTCCTACAGATCCTGGGCTTTACAGGAAGAAAAATAATCACTATGAGAACTCTGACTGCCCAGGTCTCAGGATTATTGTTACCACGCACTCGGGTGCTGCAACGTCCGGCACTTTCACGCAAGTCAGGAAGAGTGTTTACTAAAGCTTTTCTTTTTCCTGGAGACAAAGGCTCTGGCACTGACTTTTCAGAAAGCTGCAGTTTCAAATTCAACCCTTTCTCCCTTCCCTGCCAACTGCAGTTCCGTGAGCGAGCCCGCCCGGCCCCAGAGCCGAGGGCTGCTCTGCTCGCATCGTGTGTTTGGAGAGCTACCCCCAGTTACCAAAACAGCCTCCCCTGGCTGCAGAGCTCCTCTCCACAGCAAGTACAAACAGGATTTCAGCAATCACAGCGGTCGGTAAGCAATTTTTTCCACGCTGATAAATAAGCTCAGCATTTCAAAGAGCGAGTCACCTGAGATGCTCTCATCAAACACAGGCGGCTCCGCGCACGTTCATTGTGTCTGATTTCAAGGAAGTTCTGGGCAAAGGCAGAGCTCACCTATCGATGGGGATCACTGCTGGCACGGGAATGGCCTGACTGGAGCTCTGAGCAGGGCACAGGCCCTGCCCAAAGGGCTGCAGGTCTGAGCAAGGGAGTCACGGAGCGGGATGGAGGACAGGGCTCCTGGAAGGTCCCACAGGGCCAGTCCTGGGTCACTGAATGCAGCATCCCACCATCCACAGCGTATTAGTGAGTCTTCTAATTGAGTTGGAGCACGAGTTCCCATTTCCAAGGGTCATTAACCAGCTCTGCATCTCCTGACAACCTGAGCCTCGGGGAGAATCACCCAAAACACCCCAAAACCAAACTGTCCCAGCTGAGAAACAGCACACACCGTGGGGAGAACCTGAACACCCACACCATGGTCAGGTGACAGTGACAGCCCAGCACCTCTGCTCCAAACACCACTGGCTTCACCAAACTCTTCAGGGGCTGGAACAGGGAAGTGTGAAACAGGGATGTCCTGGAACAACAGAGACCAAGCCTTGCAGGAGCTGAGCTCTACTGCCCAGACCACACAGCCTCAGCAGGACATCCCAGCTGTGCTGCCACGGGAATGGGCTCCTGCCTTGATCCCAACTCAGGCAATTTTCAGCTCCTTAATTTTTTAGCCCACAAATTAAGACACCTGAAAAAAAAAAAAAATTTTTGATTTTCCCAAAGTATTGCCTTTGGAGAGGCAAACCTCTGATAAGCTGTCTCAAGAAAGGCAGAGCACGAAAGCAGAACCGAAGCATCCCGAATCCCCAGTCACTCCTGAGACACAGCCTGGCTGGCTGCGTTCTCAGGGACCGTAAAACTGCAAGCATGAAACTACCAGATGGTGAAATTAAAAAGACTATATTAAGACAACATCCAGACAATATGTAAAGCACTTATATTGAAACTATTATTAACTTCAAAAATACAGGTTAGTGGAGTTCTGCAATTAGAAGTAACTACAGAAGAAACATCCAAAAGCTCATGTAATCCTTTAATAAAAGGCTCAGCAGGCTGTAAACATCCTGCCGGAATCGAAGATTATTATTGAAAATAAAATGACTGGTTTGCAAAACAACCATCAATCCAGCACAGAACCATTTATAAACTCGCCTCCTCAGCCCTTGACAAAATCCTGCCTGGCTCAGGCTTTTCAGGGCAGATAAAAGAAACATAAACTAACTACAAGGACTGGGGGCTGCTCTGCTCCAGGATACCCCGCTGTGTCCTCACGCAATCTCGCATCTCAAACATCCATGGCTGCACTCCAGAGGACAGGAACTGAGCTGCTGAGCTGGAATCCACGGACCTGGAGTCCATGGAGCCCCACAGGAGTCCCCATGGAAGGTGGGATCACAGACTGCTCTCAGAGCAGACGGCTCTGCAAGCTCTTCACCCGTCAGACTCCTGAACAAGTGTCCCAAAACCCTGGAGATGCAGCAAACTCCGTGCCAGTCAGCGACACTGAGCTCCAGCCACAGCCTGGACTGTGGGGTTTGAGTTGTACATCACAGCAAGGACTGTTTTGGCAGGGTTCAGATCTCCTTCTGTGCATAAACTTGCTCGGGTTTTTGGTTGGTTTGGGGGTTTTTTTTTAATGATGTCAGGATTCTACATGTATTTGCACAGGATCTTGCATAAGGATTTTCATCTAAGAAATTAAGTGGATATTCTAGGGACTTCCACATTACTCCTTGCTTTTCACGTGGCTCCTTCAGGCATTTTCACAACTTAATGAGCTCCCCAATCCATCTATCTGCCCCTTTTGCCACTGCAATCAAGGTAAACAGAAGGCTGATTTTAAGGAGAAGACAACTGTATAATCATTCAGCTAAGGGTCAGATTCTTCCTGAACAGACACAGATTCACCTCTCAACGATGCTTTTTCCCTTTACTGGAATGCTGAGCACAAACACACACAATGAACAGAAGAGGAATTCCAGAGGCTTCGAGAGATGACACGGGAAGGCAAAAACTGTGGCCCTCCTCTGAGCCCAGCCTTCACTGCACTTCTTTAAAACACACTTTAAAAAGGAAAGGAAAGGAGGAGCTGTGTAGTGCTCACCAGGGCAGAACTTACCTTGCCAAACTGTTCGAAGTATTGCTTCACGTCTTCCACTACTGTATTAGCCGATAATCCACCTACAAATATTTTCTTTGTTCTTGTGACCATCTGTAAGAAATTATAAGACAAGCACATGGTTTAACCAGATCATTTCAAACAATATGTGGAAAAAAGAAATATTCTTCAGATCCCATCCCTAACCCAGATAATGAGAATATTTCTTTACAAAAGCAATTTCGATTCGATTTGATTAGATACTTCTTTCTCTTTGTCTTGTTTTGTTTTTATTTGAGATGGCTGAGTAAAGGCTCTCAATAACAACTCTAGCCCCCGGATATTTTTTTTTAATAAATGATTTTTATTGTGTTTCTCAATGCAAATATAAGTGAAAAAGGAGTCCAAGTGTCATATCTTCATAGCTACTGTCTCAAAAGCACCGTGCCTTTCCCCCTCCTCTTCCTACAGACAGGGTGAATTCTCTTTGGCAGACAAAAGGCAATTACATCAAATCGAAGGGATGTGTTATTAAGTTTCCATGGGTCAGTTTAAAAGGAACTTGCACAGTTACTTTAAAAATAATCAAATGATGAAAGACAGCCCGAGCTGCCGATGCAGCATCTCCAGCTGCCACAGCCCACACTTCAGCTCACAGTGTCACCACCCATCAGGGCTGGATTAGCTCCTGCAGAAACCCCTGCGTTCCCCAGACCCCAGCTGAGCACCCAGCTCCTCTGCTGACCCCTGTGCACCCCACTGTGGTCCACACGAGGCAAAGGGATGGTGCTGGATTCCCTTCGGAGAACACACCATCCAACAATCCACCATCCACAACCTGCAGCCCTCCAAGATGGGCAGGATCAGCCCGTGGACACAAACCCCAACGATGGCAGGGCAAGTTGGTGTGTTTGGTGGGCTGATCCCAAACCACCTGATCCCTGTGGGCCACCCCACGTCACGGCAGACCCAGGACAATGCTGTCAGCACACTCCAAAGGGCCCCCACCATCCCAGGAGCAGCCAACCCACCACACAAAGGTGTTTGAGTCAACACTGCACGTTAACTCAGGAAACCAAACGCGCCAAAATAAAATTCATGCATTCAAATGCTTAAATTTGTTTGCTCTGGAAACTGGGTAGAGCAGCCAACTTCCTGAGACTGGAGGGAAAAATGCTGCACGATGCAGGGCCAGAGCCTGCCTGGCTGAGCAGCAGCCAGAGAAGGGAGGTGTTACACGGGGACCCACGGCCCCACACACACCACCACCCTGTCCCCCTCCCACAGCCCAGCCCCACACACACCACCACCCTGCCCCCTGTCCCCCTCCCACAGCCCGGAGCAGCCCCACGTCCTCCCTGCACAGAACAAATCAACTATCACTCCCATCCCCACGGCCATGCACATTAACCAGACATTCCCCTCCATCGGCCTTACAGAGCTCCACTTTATTTTTTTCTCTTTTTCAAGTTAGGAAGAAAAAGAAAGAAAGAAAGAAAAAACTGTGTAAAAATTCAATTATTTTTTCCTGGCTGCAATCTAGGGCTCCGAAATTGAAGCCCAAGCATATATTTTTCTGTAGAAAATTGTCATTTACAAATAAAGAATTGGCGAAAGCCGACTTGTAACTAAAGGATTTTGCAGGGCTGTCAAGAGCCCTCTGCCTGCCAGCATCTGATTTAAGATCAGGCCAAGCTTCTGTTGTTATACAAAAGAGGGAGGAAAGCAATTATTCTAAAGCAGTATTTGAAATTATCATCATTTTTATATTTGACCAAGAAAGAAGGAAAAAGAGAGCTACTGCTTTTAGAAGCAAGATTGAAGGTTAAAGAAAAAAAAAAAAAAGACCACTTTGTTTCAATAGCTTCAGTCAAAGAAAATATTGGTAATGACAAGCAAATTCACAACATTTTAATGCCTAGAGATGTGTTGCGAGCTGGGAAATGGTTTCAGAAATCAGCTCTTTGGTACCAAAGTGAAGCACAAAATTAAGTCTGCTTTTACAATCTACGTTTCCCTGAAGAGACAGTTCAATTGCTTTGTTACCACCTTCCCCCCAGCACAGGAACAGAAAATACACAGCCCGAGCGGTTCCTCTGAGCCCGACGTGCCTCAAGAGCAGCCACTGCCTGGACACAGCCCCGGGATCGGAGCAGCCTGAGGGCTCCCAGCCAAGGGCTGGCAAACACACCGGCCAAACAGGATGGGACATCCCAAAGACACTGGAAAAAAATGTCATCACTCACTCCTGGATCTTCATCCGGCAGGGACCCCTCCTGTGTCAGCCACTGGTCACCAGTAACCCAGATTTTCACAGGATCCCAGAATCACTGAGGTTGGAAAAGACCTCCCAGACCATGGAGTCCAACCTGTGCCCCATCCCCACCGTGTCCCCCAGCCCAGAGCCCCGAGTGCCACTGCCAAGCCTTCCTTGGGCATTGCCTGACTCCAGCACCTCCCTGGGCAGCCCCTTCCGAAGCCCAACCACCCTTCCCAGGAAGAAATTCTTCCTGATGCCCAACCTGAACCTCCCCTGGCACAGTTTTACGCTAAAAATATGCTCTTTTAAAGCATCTCAAAAATTGCCAGGACCAGGCACATGCAACATTAACGCTGAGAAAACCCATATTAACTAGAAAGGGCCAAAATCTCCCATTGCCAATGGCTGTGAGGGCAGCTTGTTCCTCACTGAGGACCCTCTGCAGGAAACAGGGTTCCAGTAAAGCCTTCTGGTTCAGCCCAGGGACTGATGTTCTCACTACCCGACATGATATTCTCTCCACCACAGATCTGTGCTTGTTTTTTCAGGAGGAAAAACAAAGGGTTAAAGTACATTTAATGAAGTAGCCTTGGTGTAAACATTACAGATGACAGTCAGAGGCACCAGTGACCACAGGCACTGGTAACTTTAGCTGCTCTCTAAAATTAAAGGGTTTTTTAAATCAAAACACTCATTTGGCTCAGCAAATAAATCAGCATATATTTAGCAAAAAAACCCTACAATTCTATAAAAGCATTTATGTATATATTGAAGAAAACCACTCATTATCATTATTTTCTTATTATTGTAACAAAAAGCCCCAAACAAAATCCCCAGTCTGAAGTTCCTCCAGTGGAAGTCACTGAGGATCTTTATCTTCTCCTGTGAGTAAACTCAGAATCTGCTTTCTGGAGGTTACTCACAACAGGGACATACACACCCCCCCCCAAAACCAGCAAGGGAGTCACTGCAGCACTGGTGGGTTCACACCCTCCACCAGCAGCTCCACCTGCCCTTTCCTGGGATGGAACAGCAGGGTTTGGTAACAGGAAGTGATTTGTGTGAATCAATCACAAATCCACGATTCCTGAATGACTCCCTGAGGTCTGGGTCACTCCGAAACCACACCACCTCCAGCTTCGTGCCTTGGGTGTTCCTCTGCAGTGCCATGCACCCATCCCTGCTCCTGCAGGGCTCTGGCTGGGTTTGGAGGGTCTGTGTACTGAAGGTGTCTCTCTCTCGCTGCGGAAGGAGAGGCAGATGCGAGGCCCGTTAATTGTGAGCGCAGCAGAACTGCTGTTTGTACACGGCGTTGGTGGGGAGTTCATCAAAACACATGTGACTGCTCCTGCGAGGAGGCATTCAAGGTTACACTCCATTTATTGCCTCGGCTTTGAAAAATATAATCGCCTTTGTGTTCTGAAACTGAGCAAACACTTCAGGTGGTGCAGGAGCAGGAAAAACCTCCCGCGCTTTCCCCGGCAAGTCAGCAGAGTTTACGCTGCTTTCGCAAGGTTAAGGTTGGAATTACATCACTTTGGGATGGATCAGGTACATCTCCCCTAACAACAGGCTGCAGATGCAGTCTCTGGGAACAAAAGTCCTGTCCCACCCGAACACATCAATACACACGAGCTAAACCCAACAAACCCCGGGGAAACAAAGGAATGGGGTTTTTCAGAGCCAGAGCCTCCAGCTCCGAGTCCACAAACATCCCTCACACACAGCACTGCTCTTCGCCTCCCTGTGGTTTTCCTTTCCCCACTGAAACTGTCTTACTATCACTACTATCAACAATGAACAAAGGGGATTTTAGGCTCATTAAATATTTTGCACAATTCCCAGAATTTCAAAATCTGAAGTAACAAGTAGCCACTGCTCTGTCTAGATGAGTCAAGTTTAACAAAGAAGTTACATATTTGACTTCAGGGTAACGGTTTTAAGTGTCATTTCCCAACCATTCCTTATGCAGCCTTTTTTTGCTGTGTTCCCCCCCAGTTTTACAGTGCAGAGCTCCTGCTCAGGAGGCAGGGATGGTGATGCTGGAAAGGATGAGGGCTGACACCCAGACAGCGCAGAGCGTGTGTTATCGCAAAGTAAAATCCACTGACAATCCCCAAATCCACGTAAAATCCCAAAGCAGGAGGCAGAGACACAGAGTTAAAGCAAACCAACACACAGGGCTCAAAGAGCACCCTGGAAACCTGTGCCTGAACTCAGCTCTAGCACACTCCGGTGAGGAATTCATCAAGACTTTGCATCCTCAATTTCCCAGTGTGGTGGAAGTGGACTAGAGTACTAATAGTGAATCTGCATCACAAATTGCTGAAATTAGCATTAATTTCAGATTAAACTAATTATGCATCTATAACTGTTTTCCAGAGCACTCTCCTCTTCTCTCCTCTGACAGCGTGGGTGCGTGGGCGCATGCGTATTCCAGCCTGCTCACCTCATCTGCAGCTTGGCATTTCATCATTTCTAGTGTATCCACCTTCTAAATAGGTTTATAATTAGAAAAATCATCTTTCGTATCTGTGCTGAACTGCATTTTATACCCCACTGTGCTGTACATTCAAACTACAGCATTACTTCTAATTAAAACCAACAATAACTCATGTAACAGGGGAAGTGATCTTGTTTAACTGAACTGCCAGGCTTCTTTGGCAGATTACAAACCATAAGAATTCTCCAGGTTTGGGTCTGTTGTTTTTGGGTTTTTTTTTGCCTCTGGGATCCTCATAGGAAGTTCCAAAAAGCTATTAAAACCTCAGCTGAAATGTGAAGACATGGTGAAGGTGGCAATGTTTAGTGGAAGCTTCCAACCTTTCCCAGTTCACCCATTAGGAGAATACCC